GTTCTAATTGTGTAAAACACAGAGGCGTGTAAGCAAAACATCGACAGATCTTACCATGAAAGAGAAGAATCCGTAGAATGGAGAGCTGAATGCACATTAGGGTGAAAGCGTAAGTTTGAACAAAGACAGGAAAATAATAATAAGTACACTGTGCATACAGCGTAGGGCAGATCAACTGGACTTAAGTGGAAGGTCTGAATTGGGGTATTTGAAAGTTGGACTGTGACATTCGAGATGGCACGATGTACCTACTTGTTGCCTGTGAGTTGTTTCCAGCTCATCAAGTGTTGCTGTGTCTGAGCCTGTTGTTGCAATGATTGTGTCAGTTTCTTCTGTTGATCCTCTACCTAACTCAACATGATATCCTTGCCTAAGGATTGATCCCTCCTGATAACATGACCAAGTACTTGAAACAAAGTCTCACCATCCTTGCTTATACAGAGCATTCTGGCTCTACATCTTCCAACTCAGATTCATCTGTTCTACTGGGATTCTGAGGTATATGCAATATCTGTTGAAAATACCATAATTCAAAGGCATTAATTTTTCTTAGGTCTTCTTATTGTCCAACTTTCTCATGCCTATGAGGCAATTGGAAGCACATTTGTAGCGGGTAGGCAGGTGTTAACTTGGATGAGAAAGAAGGAAATATACAATAAGAGGGAGGCTATGAGATGATGATGCAGGCAGGGGAAGACACAGAGGCTTGCAAGAGTAACAGACCACAGAGGCAAATACTGTATGTATTCGGTCCTTACATTTCCTATAATTATTGATATTTGGGAGATTAAATGTATCATCCTACTATTTTTGTGTGTGTGTCCTACAAAAATAGTAGAAACAGTAGAATTTGGGGTAAGTTTCATTACTAGAGATATTTTTGTTACTCTGTCACGTCAATCGCAACCCAGTACACACCAGAAGAAAACACTGCTCAGTCCTGTGCCTTTCTCACACGGTATTTTTTTCCCTTTGTTTTGTTTTTATGTTTGAACTTATTGTTGCCGCCATGTGTCAATCCATCTTGTTGACTGGCATGCAGATCGTCCCTCTACTTTACCAACCATGATGTCCTTCTCCAGGGACTGGTCTCTCCTGACAACATATCCAAAGTATGTGAGATGAAGTCTCACCGTCCTTGCCTCTAAGGAGCATCCTGGCTGTACATTTTTCCTAGACAGATTTGATTGTTCTTTGGGAAGCCAACGGCACTTCCAGTCTTCTTCACCAGCACCAGAATCCATTAATCAATTCTTCTTCGGTCTTCCCATTCATTGTCCAATTTTCACATGCATATGGGGCAATTGAAAATATCCTGGCTTGAGTCAAGAGCACCTTAGCCCTGGTATCGTAGTGGTTACATATTGAATCACTAATCACAAGATCAGCAGTTTGAGACCATCAGCTACTCCTCGAGAGAAAGATGAGGCTTTCTACTCCCACTAAGAGTTACAGCCTTTGAAACCCACTGGGCAATTCTGACCTGTTCTAGAGGGTTGCTAGGAGTCAGAATTGACTCGATGGCAGTGAGTTACTACTTGAGATGAGGAGAGATGGTTTTTGATGATAAAGGGTTACTGTATACAAAATAATGAAAATAATCAATTTTTGTGAAGCTGGAATGTATTTAAGCTATATTATACACTACATATGATAAATTAGCACATAATGCACTTTTTAAAAAGAGTTTTTTAAAATCATTTTATTGGGGGCTTGTACAATTCTTATCATAATTCATACATACATCCATTGTGTCAAGCACATATATACATTTGTTGCCATCATCATTCTCAAAACATTTTCCCTCTACTTGAGCCCTAATATCAGCTGTTCATTTCCCCCTCCCTCACCACTCTCCCTCCCTCATGAATCCTTCATACTTCATAAATTATTATTATTTTGTCATATGTTACACTGTCCGACATCTCCCCGCACCCTATTCTCTGCTTTCCATCCCCCAGGGAGGAGGTTATACGTAGATTCTTGTAATCAGTTCCCTCTTTCTACCCCACATTCCCTCTACCCTCTGGGCATCGCCACTCTCACCACTGGTCCTAAAGGAGTCATCTGTCCTGGATTCTCTGTGTTTCCAGTTACTATCTGTACCAATGTACATCCTCTGGTCTAACCAGATTTGTAAGGCAGAATTGAGATCATGATAGTAGGTGGGGGGGGGGAGCATTTAAGAACTAGAGGAAAGTTATATGTTTAATCGTTGCTACCCTGAACCCTGACTGGCTCATCTCCTCCCCACAACCCTTCAGTAAGGGGGTGTCCAGTTGTCTACCGATGGGATTTGAGTCTCCTCTCTGCCCTCACCCACATTTACAATGATATGATTTTTTTGCTCTTTGATGCTTGATACCTGATCCCTTCAACAGCTTGTGGTCACACAGGCTGGTGTGCTTCTTCCGTGTGGGCTTTGTTGCTTCTGAGCTAGATGGCCGCTTGATTACCTTCAAGCCTTTAAGACCCCAGACGCTATATCTTTGATAGCCGGGCACCATCAGCTTTCTTCACCACATTTGCTTATGCACCCATTTTTCTTCAGCAATCGTGTCTGGACGGTGTGCCTCCTGGAATGCCAATTTAATAGAACAACGTGTTCTTGCATTGAATAAGTGCTTGAGTGGAGGCCCAATGTCCATCCACATAATGCTATTGTTAGTGACCCATCTACATCAGAATGAAACATTATCTGTTCCTACACCATCCCCACAGTCTTTGATATGTTTGGTGAGGCGATTGTGGCGATTGTGTGGATTCATCTCATTGTAGACTTCCCTCAGCTTAACAAACATGGTGCCCTTTTCTAGTGATTGATCTTTCTCGATAACTTGTCCAAGATAAACAAGATAAGTCGCATCATTCTCACTTTTAAGGAGCACTGAATTTGTATTTCTTTCAAGAGTGACATGTTCATTCTTCAGGCAGCCCATGATACTTTCAATATTCTTCAACAACAGAGCAGCTTGAATGTGCCGATTCTCTGCAGTTTTCCCACGCATATGAAGTTGATTTCAAGCACTAGCAACCTGTGTACAACAGAATCACAGCAGAATGAAGCATTGCCTGGTCCAGTATCATCTTCACAATTGTTGCTATGTGTAAGTCCGTCGTTGCAACCAGTGTGTCGCTTCATCTTGCTGAGGCTTCCATGGCTTCAGCTAGGCTCCCCTCAGGCGTCCAGGTGCCACGTTTGCTTGTTAGAGCTTCAGAGAAGTCACTTGTAGCATATTTGCCCAATGACAAGAATATTATTGGATTTTTTTACTGCTGCTTCCATAGATATTGATATTTTATGTACATATATTATCTCTACATATCTTTATGCAACATATAAAAATTATATATTAGGTGAATTGTCAATGAGCAGAATTGGAAAGAGAAAAATATAACATGGACTTTTCAAATACAGTTTTTTAGTATTGGTAGACTCTGCAGCTCTCCCCCAAATCAGTAAGTATCTAGAAGATTCGTGCTAATATGATTAACACCTTGGACCTCACAGACATGCACAGAACACCACATCCATGTACGGTTGTACTTACATTTTTTACAACGACACATGACAGAGCTGCCATAGTGGATCTATGTTGCGTCATAAAATAAGCCTCAATTTTAAAATTTTAATAATAGATATAAAGCAAAAATAATTCCAGAAACATTTGTCCATGATGCAAAAGCACTTCTCAATGAATCACAGGTCAATGAAAAATCACAGCAGCAATTATAAAACATTTTGAACTGGAAAAAAAAGGAAATATGATCCATAGCATTTTCTGAAATGCAGCTAAATCTTCAGCTCACAAAAAAATGATTATGCTGTAAGCTTATTTACAGAGCTTCAGTGCAGTACAGAAGATCAAGCAAGTGACTACTTGCTGAAAACTTGGTGGTTCAGACTTGCCCCGGTGCTTCCAAAGACAGGCCTGGACATCCCGTTCAGAGTGGTCATGGCCTTGAGTGGTCTGTGGGACACACTTCTGCTGTGCACAGAGTGGGCTGCCGTGAGTTAGAATCGGCTTCATGGCAATATGCTTGTTTTAGAGGGGGAAAAAAGAAACTGAAAATAATAAATACATATGTGATCATCTAAATAAGCTTATAGTAAAGAGAAATGAAGGTCTGATACCTGACGTAATATGGCTGAATCTTGAAAATATTACATGGATTATATCAATTTCAAAAGGATAATTGCTGTATGAGCTCACTTACAAAGATTGCAGGGCAGGAGGGAGAAGGACAGAGGGGGGTTTTGTGTTGGGGAATTGAATTATGGCACTGGGGTCATGTGGGAAAAGATAACAATGAAGATGGCACAATATGAAGAGTGTAATCGGTACCCTTGTGTGGTGAACATGGACGTTGGCAATCTGGCAGATGTTTTGGTGTGCATATTTTCACCACAAAAGGGAAGAGGTTTTTATGCATGTCTAAAATAAAGGGACAGCAAAGAAAACAGCACAGAGTTAAAATAGAGTCAGGTGCCGCATCAGCAGAACCAGGAATTAGTCTTTTGTGAAGATTAATAAAGTTGGTTTTCTCTGACCTCAATCTACCATCCATAATTTGAACTAATTAGTGTGTGTTGCTAAGTTGAACTAGTTAGTAAAGGTAGAAAAACCAGAAGAGAAGCAATTTCTAAAACTGAAGTAAAAATTACATTTCCCCACCATATTCCTGGTTATATTGTCTCACACTAAATGATATTTTTAGTACTTTAACTGAAACATACTTGGTTTGATGGGAAATAACAGTCTAATGTTTAATTCAAAATACGCATCTAAAAGCGTATGCTTTGTAAAGGGAAGTGTAGCTTTAGCTGTTGGGCCTTTTCCTTTCTCTCTCAATGGTTGTGTTAAAATGATTGATTTGATAGCCGACTTCACACAGTGGTCAGTGCTGCTGAGGGCCAGAGAGAAGGCCTAGGAGCGTGTAACAAGTCCATTAGATGCTTTCTCCATTAACTTTGGTGTTGTTGTGGTCTTGGTCTCAAGGTCAGTGCAAGAGCCCAGAATGGTATCCGTTTGCCAAGCCTACAAACCCAACTGATGAGTCTGAGTTTCCCATTGGAACAACTTTGGCATATGAGTGTCGCCCTGGATATTATAAAAGATTGCTGCGTATCACCTGCCTGGAAAATCTAACCTGGTCAAGCATAGAAAACGTCTGTAAACGTGAGTAACTCTGGATTGGGAAGTCTTTGTGTCAGTCAGACATTCAATTTCATTCAGATTTTGGAACTAAGACACAGGTGACTTAGCGAGTCTGCCCAAGGTATAATCGGTATGAAAGTTATTCTTACAGATAGCATCTTACTTCTGCTTTGAGATCCCAGCGCCCTCACTACAAATCCATTTAAAGGGAAATGACCATCACCAGACATAATTGAGGGAAAATCCCCATTCATTAAAGGTCTCCCATTTTAATGTCAGAAACTAATGACTTACTCGGGACAGGAAAGAACAGTGTATTGTATAAGTAGTTAGGGAGAAAATGTCCAATGTTGGGGGCTTTGGACTATACTGGTTTGATGACAGTACAACAGTTTTGTAACTTTACATTTTCCTTGAAGACTCCTTGTGGGGACTAGACAGACTTGCATTGGGGTCTTTTAGAAGTCAAGCTTCTTAGGTGACTAGTCCTGAAGCGATCTGACGAGATTTTCAAGGCAGTAAGTTCTGTGAAACCATGAGAATTACAGATGTGCTTCAGGAAGCTGTAGGCAGGTTGGTGTTCTCCATACCAACAAAATTGAGCGTCTATACTCAGTCCTCAATTATGCTTTTTTCCCCATAGGTAAATCATGTGGAACTCCTGCAGAGCCCAAGCATGGTATTGTGCAAGTGAACACAGACATCATGTTTGGATCGACTATCAATTATATTTGCTCTGATGGGTGAGTTGTCAATACCATTGTTTGAGATGACCGTTTAACAGCTACAAAAGCAATCTGTAAACCCTGACCTTAGAAATGACCCCTTGCACATGGAAAGCTAGCCATAGCATTACCAAGCAGACAGAGTGGCTTGAATTCAGGCATTTAACACCCCTTGAAATTAAGTAGGGAAACCGAGTAAATGACATTTGTATAAGGTCAACTTCAAACCATCATTGGAGGAAAACTACAGGCAACCTAAGTAAATGGAAGGGCACTCCATGTGTATAGATTGGAGGATTTCGTACTGTTAAGGTGGCAACATTTCTCAAATTGATCCACGTATTTCACACAATTCCCACCGCAATCCCAGTGTCTTGTTTGCAGAAATTGACAAGGCAAACATAAAGGACACATGAAGAATTGAGTACATGGGCAGCCAAAAGAACCGTGAAGAGAAGAGCCACTTGATCCCCCGCGACAGACCTGCAGTAACGAAGAGCACCTACCTGTTCACGACATACGGGCAGACCCACGCACTGATGAAGTCAACTGAGAATTCAGATAGAAGCCCATACAGCCAGGGTCAATTAACTGTCCACAAAACTGGGGGGTCAATTCAATGAGAAGACTAATCATTTTTACTTTAAAATGGCCCTGAGACACTTGAATTTTCATTTGAAAATGAACAAAATCTGGTTCCTACCTATTACTAATTATGAATATTAAAATGAATTAAACATTTAAATATAATAGCTACAATTATGAAATTCTTAAAAGAAAACACAGTTGTAAACCTTCAAGAACTCGGACTAGGTGATTGCTCCCTAGATACAGAAATAAAAAGACAGGAACCAAGAAACACCCACATAAATTGGACTTCATCTGACTTGAAACCTTTTGTGTTTCAAAGGCATTATGAAGACTGTAAATTAATATTTTAAATCATTTATCTGATAGGGATCTAGTATCTACAATATGTAAAATTCTCTTATAGCTCAACTATAAAAAGATAAACTTTTTAAAAAATAGGCAAAGGAAGTAGACTTTTCTCAAAAGGAAATATACAAATGGCCCATAAGCACAGGGACAGACGCTTCATAGCATCAGGGTAGGGGAATGCACATCAAAACCACAATGAGAAACTGCTTTGCATCCATGACTCACTGTTACCACGTCGATTCCGACTCAGAGGGGCCCTAAAAGATAGTTAGTAACACGTAAGGAGGTGAAGGAATGAGAACCCTCATTTGTTGCTGATGGCCACTTTACAATAGTTTCTTCGTGCCTCACAAAGTTAAAGCACAGAGTTATGTATGACCCAGCAATTCATTTTTGAACTGAAAACACGTCCACATTAAAACGTGTGTAAAAATGGTCATCGCAGCATTATTCATAATAACCACAAGATGAAAATATCCACATAGCTATTACAGGATGAATGAGTAGACAAAATAGTACATCCATGTAATAGAGGATCAGTGAGCCTGGAAAAGGTGTGAAGGGCTAATGCAGAGCATGACATGGATGAAGATCATGTTCGAAGAAGTTAGACACAGAAGCTTACATGCTGTGTGATGCCATTCATAGCGTCCACAAGGCATGAATCATAGAGGCAGGATAGCTATGGTAGCTATGGTTACCAGGAACTGGGAGGAAGGAGGAATCCAGAGTGACTGCTAATAAGTCGATGATGTCTTGTGGGATTGATGGAAATGCTCTGTAGTTAGGTAACGCGGATGGTTGCGCAACATTGTAAGTTTACTAAAACCCACTGAGTTGTGTACTTTAAGGATTAATTTTATGGTATGTAAACGTCATCTAATAAAAAAGTTATAAAAGTGTCACAAAAACAATGCTTTGGGTACATAAAGCTAATTCATATTTTTACTTTATTATATTCCATTTTGCATGCTGCTCAAAATCCATTATGTTGATTAATGACACAGTACATTAATTTCCTGATGATCCATGGACTATTATATTTCCATATGATTTTTATTAGGATTGCATTAAAATACTACATGAATTTTCAGAGAATTTATAGCATCGTAATAGTGAATCTTCCAAATGATGAATAATCTATTTATTTAAGCTTTCTTGCATGACTGCTAACTGAAAACACGTTATAACAATTTATAATTTTTCTCCAAAGAGATTTGTAAGGTATTTTTAACATGTTCATTCTTAATTTTTATGCATTTGGTGGTATTGTTTTTATTGTGGTACATATATGAGTATATATATACATACATATACCAAGGGGCATCAAGAAGTGTGTAGAAAAACCCCATTATATTTTAATTCCCTTTTCTCCATGAACTTTTTGAAGCTGCCTCATATTCACATCGATGTACACACACAGGAGTATGCACACACACACACACACACACACACACACACGTAAATAAGACGTATGACTACCAGGGCTCCGACTCAGACCTGCACAGGTGTATGCCAAACACAATGTGTTTAAACATGACCCTGTGATCAGTGAATGACTGCAAAGAGGACCCTCGTGCATTCTCTTGTCTTAATCTTGATCCGAGCCTTCCCAGTAACTGTCCAATCCAAGCAGCATCTTTGCGGGGACCTACTAGGACAGTGAAGCCAAGTCAGCGCAGAAGATTATGGTGCCTTTGGGGAGATTCCCAAGGGCTAACTTTGATGTATTTTCTTGAAAAACACAAAGTAATCAGAGAGGCTCATTAGCATGAAGTTTTAAGGAAATTGAATTGGTGAAAAAGACCTGGGCAAGCTGCACTGAGGAATTCCCCACCACCACCACCACCACCTCCACCACCACCACCACCACCA